GATGATGATGATGATGATGAGGAGATGATGAGGAGGAGGAGGAGGAGGAGGAGGAGGGGGAGGGGGAGGAAGAGGAGGAGGAGGAGGAGGAGGAGGAGGAGGAGGAGGAGGAGGACGATGGTGCAGGAGATGCGCCCCCTGCCCGATCTCTTCTGCACGAAGCTGTGCCCGAAGGTCGTCGAGGCGCCCCCCCCGCCGGGCCTGGGCCGCGCCTTCCCCGCCTGGGGAGGGGCGCACGTCGCGGGCGTCGCCGCCCGAAGAGCACGCGCACACGAACACACTCTTTGGCGTCGGGGCCTCGCGCGCAGCGTCGAGGCGCAGCACACGAGCACACACATGTCCACATGTATACATCTGTGTATGTACGCATGCATGCCTGTATGCATGCATGCGCGTACGTACGTACGGATGTATGCATGTATATATGTATGTATGTACGTATGCATGTATATGTACATACATGTTTGTTTGTATGTATGCATGTTTGTATGTATGTGTGTATGTATGTGTGTGTGTATGTATGCCTGCCTGCATGCATGCATGTATGTATGTGTGTAGATGTGTATGCCTGTATGCATGTATGCATGCATGCATGTATGCATGTATGTATGTGTGTATTGATTTATGTATGCATGTTTGTTTGTTTGTATGTATGTATGTGTCTAGGTGCATACTTATGTATGTATGCATGTATTTATGCATGTACGTATAGGCGAAGGCATACACACACATATATATATATATATAATATATATATATACATATATATATATATATATATATATATATGTATGCAGTCATGTAGGTATATCTGTATGTACGCATGTATCCATGTCTGCATACATGCATGTATGCATGGATGCATTTATGCGTGTATCTATGTATATGTGAATACATGGATGCATGTATGAATGCATGTATGTACGCATGCATTTATGTGTGTACGCATGCTAGGTTTTCATTCATGTAGGTGCGTATGCATGTATGTATGCATGTGTGTGTATGTATATGTATATCTACATGCATATGTTTATGTATATGCATATTTATAGTTTCATGTATATGCATGCATGCATGTATGCGTGGATGCATGTATGCATGTATGTATTTGTGTATTGATGTACGTATATATGTATGTTTGTGTGCATGTATGTGTTTAGGTGTATAAGTATGGCTGTATGTTCATCTTTATATATGTACGTAGATACGAATGTATGTACGCATGTAGTCATGTAGGTATATATGTTTGTATGCAGGCTTCCGTGCTGCATGCATGCATGCATGCATGCATGCATGTATGCATGTATGCATGTATATGTGTACGCATCTTAGGCATGCATTTATGTAGGTGTGCATGCATGTATGTATGTGTATGTATATGTATGTATGCATGTATATGCCTATGTATATGCATTTGCAGATGTATAGTTTCATGTGTATGCATATGTATCTGTGTATGTATGCATGCATGTCTGTATGCATGTATGCATGCATGTATGTACGTACGTACGTACGTAGGTAGGTCGGTAGGAAGGTAGGTAAGTATGCATGCATGTATGTGTGCATGCACGTGTGCATGCATGCATGTATGCATGCATACATACATATGCATGTACACAAGCGCACCCACATATGCATATCTATGTACATTTATATATGTGTTTATATATATATATATATTTATACATATACACACATTTATATATATATAGAGAGAGAGAGAGAGAGAGAGAGAGAGAGAGAGAGAGAGAGAGAGAGAGAGAGAGAGAGAGAAAGAGATAGATGCATACGTATACGTAGACACATACGTATATACACATATATGCGTAAATATAGGTATATCGATCTACACACATAGGGAAGATCCCGGCCCCGGGCCCCAGACAGGCCCCTCCCTTGTACATTCTTGTCCCCCCCCAGGGCGGTTCTCCTGGAGGCCCCCGAGACTCCCGGACCGCCCGAGAGCGCTCCAAGAGCGCCCAGGATAGCCTCCAGACCGCCCAAGAGGCCTCCAGGACGCCCCGACAGGCCCAAGAGCGCTCCGAGACGACCCAAGATGGCCTCGAGAAGACCCAATAGGCCTCCCAAGAGGGCCCCGGCAGGCCCAAATCGCCCAAGACTGCCCAAGAGGTGCCAGAGGGGGCCCCAAGACAACTCGAGAGGGCCCCAAAAGACCCCAAGAGGGCCCCCCCGTGGCGAGCCCAGATCGGCGCCTCTGGTTCGCATAAGGGGGCCCGCTAAAAGGGGCCCTCGGGGGGGCCAGAAAGCACCACAGCGCTCCGAGCACGCCGACCACTACTTCGAAACCGCTCACGTGGCCTCCACGACGCCCCAAGAGAGCTTCCAGCTGATCCCGGGGAGAGGCTCCAGGGGCGAAAATCATTGATTTTCCCTAGGGTTTATCGAGGCCTTTTCGTGCGCTCGCCTGCCCCGCTGCCCGACGCCCGGAGACGGCACAAGAGGCGCCCGAGAAGGTCCCAACACACCCGGAGAGGGCGCCAAGACGGCCCGAGAGGCTCCCCAAATCGCCCCAGGGCTCCAGGCGGCCCCCCAAACGAGCTCGGATACGTTACTAAGGCCTTCAACGAGGCCCGCAGGGCCCCCAAAACGGCCCCAGCTCGCCAGTCATTGCTCCGATGCGCACTAAGAGGACGTCACGCGAATCCCCGAGAGAGGCTCCAGGGGCGAAACTCGTTGCCGCCTGAGCTGTTCCTGAGGATCTTCGTGCGGTCGCCTGCTTCACTGCCCGACGCCCGGAGACGGCAGCAAAGGCGCCCAAGAGGGCTCCAAGACGCCCGAGGAGGGCGCCAAGACGGCCCAAGGGGCGCCCCAAACCGCCCCAGGGGGCTCCAGGCGGCGCCCCACATTCGCTTGGACACGCCACAAGGACCCTAAAGTCAAAGGCCAGCAACATATGTACACGTACGCGGTTAGCTTCCCCTTGAGGGCGTTTGAACGAGGACGTTCGTGCATTCAAGATCGCGGAGGGCGTACATGTACATATGTCGTTGCTCGCTCATAAAGGAGGCCCTCAGGACTCCCACACGGTCCCAGCACGCCCATCACTGCTCCGATGCGGACTCGGGGAGCCTCCGAAGCTCACCAGGAGGGCTTCAAGCTCATCCCCGAGACAGGCTGAGGCCGTCGTGGAGGCCTCCCGTGGCAGTCTTGGGGTCCCCTTTGGCGCTTCAGGGCCATCTGCCGTCTTGGGGCCCTCTTGGGGACCGCTGCGCGGAGGCCGGGGGGGGGAGCGACGACGGGGTGGAGGAGGGGGAGGAGGAGGAGGAGGAGGAGGAGGAGGAGGAGAAGGAGGAGGAGGAGGAAGAGGAATACTACTAATAATAATAATGAGAATGGTAATATGAAGAAGAATACTAACACTATTTAGAATCAGAAGAATAATAATACTAAGAAGAATAAGACGAATACTAATATAAATAGTCAAAACAATAATAGTAATACGAATACTACTAAGAAGAAGAGGACGAACACGAATCATAATAATAAGAAGACGAATAATAATACTAATAATACTAATAATAATAATAATAATAATATTTATAATAATAATAATAAGAACCATACTAATAATACTAATAATCATATTAATAACGAGAAGAATAATAAGACTACGAATGCGAATCATAATCGTCATACTAATAAGAAGGATCATCATAATGATAATACTAAGACTAATACTAATAATAAGAAGAGGAGGAGGAGGAAGAGGAGGAGGAGGAGGAGGAGGAGGAGGGGGCTCTGTTGGGCCGTCTTGGGGCCGTCTTGGGGCCGTCTCTTGAGCGTCTTGGGGCCGTCTCGGGTCCCTCTCTCGGGGCCCTCATTGGGCCGTGCTGGGGCACGCTTGGGCCGTCTCGGGGCCGTCCTTGGTGCCTCTTCGGCCACCGTAGGACCGTCTTGGAGCCGCCGTGGGCCCGTCTTGGGCCGTTCTGGGGCGCTTTGGGGCCATCTTGGAGGCATCCTGGGCTGTCCCGAGCTTCTAGAAGCCCCGAAATGGGAGAATTCCTACAACGTGCAGCCAGCGACAGTATGATTCCGGCTCCCTTGGGGGCCCTCTCGGGAGTGCCTTTGAGGGCCATTGTGGCTTGGAGCCCTTTTGGGCCGTCTTGGGCGCTTGAGGCTCTCCTTGGAATCTCCTGGGGCCGTCTTCGAGGCCTTGGGGCCCTCCTGGCCGTGCGGTTGCGTCCCAACGCGATTCTTGTGGCAACCTGCAGCGACCAGGAATGCGAAGCACATCCCCCAAGCCGGTTTTTCCTGGAGACAGGACTGTAGAGAAGAGACACATCAAGCCATGAAAAAACAACACAGCAGTTCAGCAGGAACCATCACAGCCTAGCGCCCCCAGGGGGGCCGACGAATGTTATCGTTTACCAGATAGTGTATACAGGCAGCTTTGATTGGTGCCAGGGCGGAGGTGCTTGTTGCGTACTGCCGTGAGGTGTCCCCTAGCGCCTGCTTCCCCCTTCTGATCAACTTCAGCAAGGGCAGATCCCACGTAGCTCGATCGAGGCAGCAGCTGTTGAACATCATACTTACGATAGTCCAGAACCTAGGAAACGACATGATGCTTGCGCACCAGGGACAAGCTGATGGGGGGGAGTAGCACGTACTACTTTGGGGGCGCGCACCAAGAAACATTTGCCTTTCGTCAGGGCGTCCTGGGTTTCTTCGCTCCGCGCGCTGCGCGGTGACTTCCCGCGACCGTCGAAGAAGCTGCTGCGTTCAGAGTGCTCCTGGTTTCTCCTCAGGTGCACCTCGCGCGCGGGTTTTCAGGGTTGGGTTTCTTGCGAGGGTTTCTTGCGACCGCGCCCGCATTGTATGGCGGAGCAGGAAGAGGCGGAGCCTCCCCAGGGAGGACGGAGAGGATACTCTGATGTTCGCCGATCTGGCCTTTCCCATCCGAGGCCGCAGGGGTCCTGACCGCTTCCCGTGGGCCCAGAGTTTCGTCAAGGGCAGGTTTTTGTTTCGAGGGCTCCACGGCCGGATGACAGGCCCCACTGGCTGGCATCGAGGCAGCAACACCCGCTGAGAAAAGATCGGGCCGTCGAAGATCTGGAAACGGGGGCGACGAGGAGCAACATGAGTAGGAGGAGGATGAGGAGGAAGCGGAGGTGGAGGATGAGGAGGAGGAGGAGGAGGAGGAGGAGGAGGAGGAGGAGGAGGAGGAGGCGGAGGCGGAGGAGGAGGCGGAGGAGGAGGAGGAGGAGGAGGAGGAGGAGGAGGAGGAGGAGGAGGAGGAGGAGGAGGAGGAGGAGCCGCAGCGGTGCCAGCAGCTGGGAGGGGGCACTTCTCGGGGCGAGGGAGAGCAGTGCTGGGACCTCGACTGCAAGTTCGCACACTCCGAGCAGGAGCTGCGCAGCGACGAGAAGGAGCACGAGGCGCCGGCCGGCCGTGCCAGTCGCGTAGGGCCCTCTCGTCTTGGGCCCCTCTCTCGGGGCTCTCTTTTGGGCCATCTTGGAGCCATTCTGAGGCACCATGGGTTTGTAGACGAGCAACGTCCGATTGCCGCTGTCATATCGTTTTTCACACCATGTTCTGGAAGGATCTGGGCCTCTCTGGAGCGTCCTTGGAGGGCTCCGTAGCCACCTGAAGCGGTCTTGAAGTTGATCCATATTGGACGCCTACTTTTAGCCATCCTAAACGATGTTGCGCCATCTTGGAGGTCTTCCTGAGGTTTTCTGGGCTCTCTTGGAGCCGTTTTGGACCATGTATGACACTCTAATTAGACGGGTCCGCCCCCGTCCAGACCTTGGGGGAGGGGGTACGGGGAGGTGTCAAGACACTTCTCCCAGACGCAATCTGTTTGGCTCACTCCCACCCGCCCTCCCAGCAGAACAGTAGTACCCGAGTCTCAGCATGTTCCTTACGTTCTGCGTATCCCCACCAGCGCCGTAGCCCTTTTGGCTCAAGCCGCTCTGGCTCGAGGGGAGCCGAGCCAGCTTGAGCGCCCGGGGGCCAGGGTCGGCCCCGATCTCGGTCAGCCTGGCGGGCGCTGGGACGGGTCCCTGTCCTGGCGCCCGCTTCCGCGGGCGATGGAGCTGCCAACGGCGGCGGCGCGCCGACGGCGCCAGCGGGCTTCTGCCTGGGCTGCCCGCGTCGCCGGCGCCGCCGCCACTGCTGGCGCTGCGGCCGCCGCGGTCGCGGCGGGCGCCGTGGGTGCTGCTGGCGCCGCGGGCGCCGTGGGCGCCGCGGGGGCGGCGGGCGCCGCGGGCGCAGCGGGCGCCGCGGGCGCAGTGGGCGCCGCGGGCTTCGCGGGTGCCGCGGGCGCAGCGAGCGTCGCGGGCGCCGCTGGCGCCGCGGGCGCCGTGGTCGCCGCGGGCGCCGCGGGCGCCGCGGGCGCAGCGGGCGCCGTGGGCGCCGCGGGCGATGTGGGCGCCGCGGGCGTCGCGGGTGCTGCGGGCGCAGCGTGCGCCGCGGGCGCCGCCAGCGCCGCGGGCGCTGCGGGCGCTGTTGGCTTCGGGGGCCGTCCGTCTCCGCCTGGCTCGGCTTCTGCCTTGCCCCCAGGGCTCACGCTGGGGCCGTCGCCGGGGGCGGGCGCGGGTGGGGGCCCTGAGCCGAGTTCGCACGCCGATGGAGGCCCCGCTGCCGCTGCTGCCGCTGCTGCTGCCGCGGCCAGCGTCTGCGCCTCGGCCGCCACCATCACGGCCGACGCCGCGCTCTGGGCGGCCGCGGCCGCGCTGCCGCAGGTTGCCTCGCTCGCGGCGCGCGCTACGCTGCGGCACGAGGTCGTGGTGGACGACGTGGAGGACGCGGACGTGGAGCGCGATCGTGCTGATCGTGACCACCCCGGGGAAGTGGCGGATCCGCCGTCGCAGACACGAGACGATGGAGGCCGCGGCCACCCGGACGGAACGATCGAGAGCCGCGCGCCAGGAAGCTGCACGACCGGAGTCCTTGACACCATCTTCCTGCGCCCCCTCGAGCCGGATCGATCCGATGACGCCCCCTTTCTCCCCCGTTTATTTCCGATGTACTTCCGGCGATCAGCCGCCAACCGTGGGAAGACCCTTGTGACGATGAGGAGGACTTGGAGCGGGAGTCGATAGCTGGGTCGCGGGAACGAGTGCCAGGAGGACCCACCCCGCGAGCTCCCGCTCCCGAGGCCGGCGAGGGGCCGCGAGGAAAATCTCGGTCGCAGGGGGATAGCCGCTCGGTCCCCGACTTCAGGGGACGGCAGAGTGGGGCTGGGTCGGCGCGTTCCCGATCGAACAGATCTACGTTGCAGCCGGATGGCGAGGCGCGCGCCTGATGCCAAAACGTGCACGCCGTCTGGTGCGCCAGATGTGCCGCGTGTTCCGCGTTCGCCAAGTGTGCCGCGTGCTTCAGCCTTGTCAGGTGCGCCACTTCCGGGGCGCGCGCAGGGTGCGTCAGGTGCGCCCGCGCGCATGGGGAGACATGCCGGTCTCCACAATCGTTGTCGAAAACCCATGAAAAATCGCGGCAGAGTGGCCATCATGATGCCTGATGGGCCTGCGCGCAGCAGGCAACGTGCCAGCGGCCCCGTCGCCGCTGCCAAAAACCAATACAACGTGATCGCGGTGTGCCCGCGCATGACCCAGATATCGGCACGAAGTACAGTTTATATAGTTGTTGACAGGGATGGTTGCCCTGCGCGAGACAGGTCACATACTGGCAAGCCCCGCCGCCCTAGGCAAGAAACAACACAAAATGCTCGCGCCCCACCCCGATCGTGACACAATATTTTGCCGCAGCGAGCGCTCACGATTGGTTTTTGACAGGGATGGTGGGGGGTGGGGGTGGTGGCATGGCACAAAGCATGGAATCACCAGTGCAGGATGATCGCGAAGCGCCCGCGCATGCACCAGATTTGGGTGCAACGTGTATGTCCCGACCATCCTGTGGTATTGGGTCCTCGTTGTGAAGAGGCAGCGCCCCGCGTCCCTCCTCTCCTCCTCTTCGTCCCGTCCTGTGCCTCTTCCTTCCGCATGTATCTGTTTCGGCACACCCGTCGCACGCTTCGTGCCCCCACATGGAGCTCCGCCGAAGGCTCTTGTGGCAGCGTTCGCATGTGGCTCCCTTACAGCACGCCCATCATACGTTCCAGTGCGCCACAGGGGGCTCCACCAGCGCTCGCATGCGCCTCCCAGCCCACCGAAGGCCCCATTGGCAAGGTTCGCATGCGTCCCCACCAGCATTCCTGAACACACCCCGCACACGTTGAGTGCCCCCCCCCCATACGGTAGGGAACTCCACTGAATGCCCCATGCAAGGGTCGCACCCTTTTGCTAACCCCTCACGCGTTTCGTGGCTTCAGAGGGAACTCCACCGAAGGCCGCAGTGGCAGGGTTCGCATGCGGGTCCATCCCCATTTTGGCTCATCCTTCACACGTTTCGTGCCCGCTATTATAGGGAGCTCCACCGAAAACCCCAGTGGCAGGAATCGCATGTTGTTTTGACCACCATAATGACGCATTCTTCACAAACTACGTGCCCCCAGAAAGATCTCCACAAAAAAACCGCAGTGGCAGACCTCGCATGCGGTTCCACCACCATGTCGGCTCACCCCTCATTGGTTCCGTGCCTCCATACGGATATCCACTGCAGGCCGCAGTGGCAGGGTTGGCGCGCGGTTCCACCCCCATGTCGGCACACCCTCACACGTTGCGTGCTCGCATAGGGAGCTCCACCGAAGGCCGCAGGACAGGGTCCGCATGTGGTTTCCCCCCCCGATTTCGGCGCACCCTTCACGCGTTTCGTTGCCCCATGGGGAGCTCCACCGAAGGCCCCAGTGGTATGGTTTGCATGCAGCTCCCCGCCCATTTCGACACGCCGTTCACATGTTTTGTGCCCCCATCGGGAGCTTCGCCGAAGACGACATTCACACTTGCGGTACTCACAACTACATACGTCTGGGTCCTTTGTTCGAATATTTTGTTGCAAGGGATGGTGTGGCCAGTAGGAGATGTTGGCATTGCACACGTTAGGCAGTATGCCGATTCCCCGCCGTTCTTGCCACGAACCAATGCACACTGATCGTGGGGCGTCCGCGCATGAACAGATTTTGGTGCAACGTGCACTTTGTAGCTCCTTTTGGAAGACATGGCTGGGGGTGTACACTGCACGCTGCAGACGATGTGCGGGGCCCCCCCGCCCTGCCTGTCAATATCCAGTGCAGAGTCATCGCGGTGGGTCGGCGCACGGTGCAGACTTTGGTGCACCGTGCACTCCTGCATTGTTCCCGGCCATCCTATGGCGTTGGGTCTTCCTTTATGTCGGCGACGCGTAAGGCTCGAGTGCGCCGGAACTCGGGTCTGCCGGCGTTTTTTGACGAGCCAGGCCCTGGATTTTGACGGCCCAGTTTTCGTGGCATGTTTGCAGCGGGGGCTCGGGTCGAATTTCAGGTAGGGTCTCGTCATCTTTTTGATGGCCCCATCAGGCCAGCCCGAGAGTCCCCCGTACCTGAGTCTTACGTCTCCCCGATTTTGTGGAGGGAGCGTCCCTCCTCTCCTCCTTGCCCTCCTCCCATCCCTTGCCTCTGCCCTCCGCGTGTATCTGTTTACGTACACACACACCCTCGGCCACGCGCAGAGGGGGGTAGGTGGAGGGGGGAAGGCTTCTCAGACTTAGAGGCACCCTTGCTTTTTAGAAGCGGCGGGCCTTGTTTGTAGATGTGAGGCCCGCGCCTTTTAAGAAGCACGCGCCGTCAACACCCCTCGCACGCTTCGTGCCCCCACAGGGAGCCCCGCCGACGGCTTCCGTGGCAGCGCTCATCGCATGCGCCCCCCAAGCCTACTTCGGCACGCCCCTCGCACGCTCCGTGGCTCCACGGGGAGCTCCGCCGGAGGCTCCTGTGGCAGCGCTCGCGTGCGTGCTGCAGCGAATTTCGTCACGCCGCTCACACGTTCCGTGGCACTGCAAGGAGCTCCGCCGAAGGCTCCTGTGGCGGCGCTCGCGTGCGTGCCCCGGCCCATGTCGGCACAGTCCCACGGGCTCAGCCGAGGGCTCCAGTGGCAGCGCCCGCGTGTGAGCTCCGCCGAGGGCTCCCGTGGCAGCGCTCGCACGCGCCCCCCCCCGCCCACTTCGGCACGCCCCTCCCGCGTCTCGTGGCAGCGCTCGCACGCGTCCCTCCCAGCATGGCTTTCTGCAGGGGACGGTCGGGGGGTGTTGGCGCTGCAGGCAGGAGGCAGGTAGTGTGCTGTTTTTAATACATGCTCCGCGTGCGGATCATGTTTTAAACGTGCAGGGATTTAGTATTAAGAACAACGATGAGCTCATGCATACATTCATTCCTGAATTCATCATGTATTAAACTCCCAAGTCGTAAAAACTGCCCTGTAGTGTCCCGCCCCCGCGCCGCCCACGACGATGCCCGGCCGCAGAACACGGTGGAGCAGGACGAGCAGGGGAGCCAGGCCGCCCAGCGCATGGAGATGGACTTCGACACGTTCACGTGGGTTCGCCACCGAACGGAACCCCCCGCGCGGAGGGGGAGGGCCACGGCGAGGCCGAGGGGGCAGGAGGGAGGAGGCAGGAGGGAGGAGGCAGGAGGGAGGGCACGGGGAGGGGGGGGGGGGAGAGGGAGGGAAGGGAGGAGGCAGGAGGGAGGAGGAGGCAGGAGGGCGGAGGCAGGAGGGAGGGAGGAGGCGAAGGGGAGGGCACGGCGAGGGAGAGGGAGGAGGCAAGAGGGAGGAGGCAGGAGGAGGAAGACTGGCAGGAGGGATGATGATGCTGATGCTGCTGCTGATGCTGCTGCTGCTGATGCTGATGATGATGCTGATGATGATCATTCCTGTGCTGCTGCTGCTGCTGCTGCTGATGATGATGATGATGATGATGATGATGATGATGATCGGAGTGATGATGATCAGATGACGACGATGACGGTGGTGTTGATGATCATGGTGACGACGATGCTGATGCAGATTATGCTGCTGCTGATGCTGATGCTGACGATGATGCTGATGCTGATGATGCTGGTGATGATGATGGCGATGCTGCTGCTGCTGATGATGAGGAGGATGATAACGATGATGCTGCTGCTGATGATGATGCTGATGCATCTGCGGCTGATGATGTTGTTGATGCTGGTGTTGATGCTGATGATGATGTTAATGCTGCTGACGATGCTGCTGCTGATGATCATGATGATGTTGATGATCAGCTGCTGGTGATGATGATGATGATGATGATGGTGATGGTGATGGTGATGCTTTTGATGATGATGCTGATGCTGATGCTGATGATACTGATAATGCTGATGCCGATGATGATGTTGATTATGCTGACGATGATGATGATGCTGATGCTGATGATGATGATGATGACGACGCTGATGATGATGATGATGATGATGATGATGCTGGTGATGCTGAAGATGCTGATGCTGTTGCTGACGATGATGCTGCTGCTCATGATGCTGATGATGATGATGCTGGTGACGATGATGATGTTGACGAGGGTGATGATGCTGCTGCTGATGATGATGATGATGCTGATGACGATGATTATGCCGATGATTATTACGAGGATGCTGATTCTGATGATGCTGATGATGATGATGATGATGATGATGATGATGATGATGATGATGCTGATGATGATGATGATGATGATGATGATGATGATGATGATGATGATGATGATGATGCTACTGCAGCTGATTTTGATGCTGATGACGTAGTGATGATGATGCTGCTGATGGTGATGGTGATGGTGATGGTGGTGATGCTGATGATGATGGTGATGATGATGACGATGCTGCTGATGCTGATGATGATGCTGCTGATGCTGATGCAAATGATGACGACGCCGATGCTGCTGCTGCATGTTGGTCATGATGATGATGATGATGATGATGATGATGATGATGATGATGATGATGGTGATGCCGATGATGATGATGCTGATGATGATGATGCTGATGATGATGCTGCTGATGATGCTAATGCTGATGCTGATGCTGATGCTGATGATGATGATGATGATGATGATGATGCTGCTGATGATGATGATGCTGCTGCTGATGATAATGATGATGATGATGATGATGATGATGATGAGGAGGAGGAGGAGGAGGAGGAGGAGGAGGAGGCGGCGTAGGATGCCATATACAACAACCGAACGTTCGAGGTGCGGGATCGACAGGGCTCGTCCGCGGTCTACTCGCAAGGCACGGGCATTGCGCAAGGGTGCCCGCTAAGCCCATATCTGTTCATCATCGTTCTCACTGTGCTAATGGCTGATGTAGACGAGGATGTTCAGGCGGCCCTCGGACCAGCGTCGCCGTCTGACATCAACGCCGACCTTGAGTACGCGGACGACACTGCTTTGATATCAGACAACATCCCACGTCTGCAATACGTCTTGGAGAGACTGTTGCATCGAGCCAGCATGTATGGAATGGAACCGAACTGGTCCAAAACGGTCCACTTGCAGATCCGCTGCAATGTGGATGTGGTCACGCCACAGGGCGCGCTGATCAAGCGGGTGAACAGCGCCATCTATTTTGGCAGTCCACTGAAGGCAGATGGGACTGCAGGGGCGTCCATCGCGCGCAGGCTCGGCGAAACCACAGCTGCTTTCAAACAGTTGCAAAGTGTACGGAATCACGCGAACATTACGCGTGACAGGAAGACTGAGATGTTCAATGCGTGCGTGGTGTCGAAGTTGATGTACAGTTTGGAGACGCTTTGCCTCCGCCAAGCTGACAAGCAGACGATCGACGCCTTCCAGGCCCGGTGTCTCCGAAAGATTTACGGCGTGCCACATTCAATGATCCCGCGCACACCGAATGCGGACGTTAGGCGGCAAGCCCGTCAGCACCGACTGAGCATTGTAGTATTGATGCGGCAACTGGTGGTTTACGGACGGATCGCTTCCCAGCCAGACCAGTCTCCACTACGAGCTGCTGTTCTAACACCGGGCTCGCTGGTGCCTTTGCGACCGGTTGGCGTTCGAGCGCAGGGGCGACCTCGTCTGACGTGGCGCCGGTTGTCTGGGAGCAGGCCAAGCTAGCGATGGCCTCTTGTCCTCGTCCTCTCCCGCCCCTTCCGCCCCCTCCTCTCCCGCCTCCCTCCCTCCCTTCGGACGAAGCTTTAGGTGCATTGTTCAGGCGCCCTCGTTTTGCAGCGCATGGACAGCCAATCTGGAAAGCAATTGTCAAACAATATGGCCTTTCCATTGGCCCCATATTTGCTTAGGTGTAATATACGATTGCCGCTTATCCTGCGCGCCAAGGATTTTTCCCCTGCTGAGCCGATGTGTCGTGCGACATGGCTTGCGAACGAACGACCTCGATCCCCCCAATCGCGGCCTCCCTGCGTGGCCCCCCGTCGTGGCCCCCCATCGTGACCCCCATTATCGTGGTCCCCCCATCGTAAACGCGTGAAGCCGCCTGCTCAGGGCTTTTGCCGCAAGTGTGCCATGTGTTGTGTCAGCTCGGTCCTCCCTGGTTGGGCTATCGCTTTGAACAGAGCGCTGCTGCTCCTGTCCTTCTTTCCCCCCCTCCGTCATGCCTTCTCCTGCCTCATGTTGCCGACCTGCCTCCTGCATCGTCTGCCTGGGCGCCGTCAAATCCTGCCTCTCTGGGCGCTGCCATCTGCGCAACTGTCGCCGCTTTCGTTCGCTCCTGGGAGTTCCTGCGCAGCGCGGTGTTGCCCAGAACAGATTGGGACCTTGCCTTGCTCGGAGCTGCGAGCAGCGCAACTGCCGCCACTTTCGTGAGCCCCTGGCCAGCGGAGCGCCGACCGATGCAGATCCAAATGAGGCCTCGCCCTGCCTGGGCGCTACGGATTGCAAAGTTGTCGCCACTTTCGTAAGCTCATGGGAGGCCTGGCCCAGTGCCGTCTTACGCGGATCTAAATCGACCTCGCCCTGTCTGGGTGCTTCGAGCAGCGCAAGTGTCGCCACTTTCGTGAGCTCCTGGGGCGATTTCAGGCCACCAAAGGGCACGAAGTGCCGTTTCTAGTTGACAGGCACCCTGGCTTTGAGAGCATCGGGAACCTTTTTCAAGGGCCACAGTGTGTATACGTTTCCGCTTGACCGGCACATTTACCTGGAGAGCATCAGACACTTCTTGTCAGGGCCATTGCGTTTTAAATGTTCGTTTGGATATCGTGGGAGGCCTCTCGGGGGCCTCTGGGAGGCAGTTTTGATCCCTCTTGGGGGCTGTTTGGGGGCTCTTTTTGAGCCTATTGGGGGCCTCGTGCGGCCTCTAAGGGGCCTCTTGGCTCTCTTTGGGGCCTCTTGGGGCCTCCTGGGGGCCTCTTGATACGGAAGGCTCGAATTGTCGGTTCGTGTTCTCCCTATTGGGCCCATTTTCGGGCCGTCTTGGGGCCCTCTTGGGCTATCTTGGGCGCCTCTTGGTCTTTTTTGGGGCCCTCTTGGACCGTCTTTGGGCCCTCTTGGGCCGTCTTGGGGCGGTTTTGGGGACCTCTGGGGCCATCTTGGAGCGTCGGAAGCCCGAAACCGCGAGAACGCGAAACACATAGAAAAATATTCAAGGAACATCAATGATTTTGTGCCTCGTGGGGCCCTCTTGGGGATCCTCTTGGAGCGCTCTAGTGGCTTCTTTGGGGCCTCTGGGGATGTCTTGGGGCCATCTTGGGCGTCTCGGAGCGCTCTTGGGCTATCCTGGAGGCCTCTTGGACCCTCTTGGGCGCTTTCTGGCTCCCTCTTGGCCCGTCTTGGGGCCCTCTGGCTTCTGGAGAAGTCACGCGGGCCAGCCCCAGAACGCGCGGGAGCGCTCGGGGAACTAGGGAAGCTTGGGCCCCAGCCCTTCGAATACTATAATCCCAGAGTCCTGAGTGCAGAGAACAGAGGACAGATAAGGACCTGGAGAACACTCTACTTCGCGCCTCGCGGCACGGTGGCGGATATTTCATGCACATGGGTATTTATATGCATTTGCATTCATACACATACGCACACGCATAGGAGACCAGCACGTCTTGCCCACCTCTGGAGATTGTCCTCGGAGGTCCTCGGTGGTTTCCAGAGACATCCAGGTGTCAAGGTTCAAGTTCCCGTTCGAGCATGCAGCCGATATTGACGCGTAGCGAAACAATTTATTCCCCATATCCTAAGATGGGGTTCTTGTTATTACTTGGACGCCTCCTACTCCTCCTCCTCCCTCCTCCTCTTTTCTCCTCCCCTCCTGTCGGACATACTCAGACTTGCTCATACACAGACTTACTCATACTCAGACTTACTCATACTCAGACCTACTCATACTCAGACTTACTCACACTCAGACATACTCATATACAGACTTACTCATACACAGACTTACTCATACACAGATTTGGAGGATGTCTCGAGCGAGGCGCTCATTTCAGCACCCCTAAGGGGAGCCGCCAGGGGTGGTTGCACGGGCTCGTTCGCGGCCATTTTGTGGGGATGTCTCAGGCGGTTTGCCTGTTTCTGTGCCCAACATCCTTCGCTTTCGGAGCAGATTTGGAGGATGTCTCGA